CCCCCCCCCCCGACGAAGGACATTTCAGCCATCATCTGATAATAGTAAGTGTGTTAGGACATCTGAAGGGGAAAGGGGGTTATCTTTCAATTTTCTCTGTGGGGGAGGTATGGATATTTTCTGGAATGACCTATTCTTATTTTATGCAATACACTGTATGTATTTACTTTTTTATGATCATGTTTGTCAGGCTTGTGTAAAGAAATTCCTACAGATTTGAGTCCAGATGAAAGGCTGCTTCGGTTGTTTGATAAAAGTTTGTTGGTAAGCAATAAAGCAATGCAGCATTTCTATCTTTTTTCTTTCCAACAAATAGTGATTTGAAGAGAACAATTTTGCACCACAAAAATGAGAAATCCATGTTTCATGGGTACTCGGGTTTCCAACTGTACTAACTTGTGTGTATTCCTTTTAGCTCATGTGTGAAAATGCCAAAGACAAAAAGTATATGAACATTGCAAATTTTCCTGAAAAAGGCAAGTATAATGTGCAGTGCCCAAGCCTGGAAATAGGTTTTGGGGGCCTGCCTGTCAAAATGACCAGCACCAATGCATATGTGCCTGTCACAAAAAGAAAACCATACCTGTCAGTCAAAAACATTGGATACAAATATGCAGTGGTTGCATATATATATCAGGTTCAATGGTATTTAGAAATTTGCAGCTTTTGCAGAGTGATTAAAAGAAGGAAATTTTTTTGGGTTGAAATGCTGAATAATGCAAACTGGACAAAGTGACAGACACAGTCAAAGTTGTCATTGTGCCTGACAAAACACTAGAAATCACGCATTTGTACCGGTCAATGACCGTAACCAGACGCTTATTTCCAGGCTTGGCAGTGCCAAATATACATTTGACACTGCACATTACAAATACCTTATTTCCTCCCCCCTTCTAATTAGCCCCCAGTGCAGAAGTGCTGAAAAGAAATAAGTCCCCACCCTCTCTATTTAGTCCCCACCTTCTATTTAGTCCCCACCCTCTATTTAGTCCCCACCTTCTATTTAATCCCCACTCTCTATTTAGTACCCACCCTATTTCTAGTCCCCACCCTATATTTTCATCCCTTTCTTTCTAATAAGCTCCCAATCCAGAACGACTTGGAAATGGTAGGCTTCCAGGTGACTAAATAGATGGAATGTAGCACAGTATGTGTGTGTGTGAGTAACTGATAATCAACTTTTACAGTTGAAGAATTTGTTGGACATCTTCGAACAACTTTGAAGAATTCCGATTTTGCCAAGCGAGCAACAGAACGGAGCGGTAAAGTTGATGAAAAGTAAGATCTCTAGAGATTGTGTTTCTATTTCTGACATATTGATTTAGAATATTGCGGACCTATCATGCCATGTTGGCAAAAAGCTGCCAAGTGAACGTGAAGTTATAATCTTGAACTTTCTAATGGTTCATTTTCAACATAGAGTTATTATTCCCAATCCAAAAGCCCAACAACTCGAAGAGTATGCCAAGAAAAGTCAGGAAACCACCGAAAGGTATACACTATACACTTAAAATTGTGCAAGACCTAATCTTAAAAAGTTGAAATATATCCGTATATGATTTATTCAAACATTTTGGTCAATGTTCATCATGCGGTAAGGGAGCTGTTGTTATATTCTCTTCTCTAATGAAGACAGAATGAGCTCCAGCCACAGTTCAACCAGAACCCTAACCGTCCAGGACTAAGTCATGGTGCGCCCTTTTAAAATTGCATCTTTCACTTTTCTTAGAATGTCAAAAGAGGACAAAGAATGGGAAGAAATTCTAGGAAAATATCAAAATGAACACGAATCGACAGAAAGGTATTTGCCTATTCCAAATAATAATGGCACTTTCCTACATTTCTGCCATTCTTATGTTGACCATCATCAGAAATTGAATTAACTAAATATCTTTGTTTTATCATTCCAGTGAAGTAATGGAGTCCTATAGTCAAATCAACAAGGATAGTTTATCTGCAGAACAGAGAGAATTTCTTGACAGTATACAACCCAAGGAAGGCATGTTTGAAAACCTGGGCAGATTGAAGGATACATCAATTCTTATGGTAGGTGCTGATGTCTTTGTTGCTATGGTTATGTGGTTGGTGTCTGAACTACCTGAAAGAGATCAGGGATGTACCGCATCGAGTATTCACTATCCAGCCGGATTCCGGATATCCTGGATAGTTGAAAAATACCCCTAACCATTCAAGGTTAAATAATTCTTTTCAGTGGTTATAAAGTGATTGTGTCTATAATATATCGATCTGAAATGATAGGAAAGAACTTCACAGTCCAACATCGATAAACATGCAGCGTTAGAAAAGCCTTGCCTCACAAGGGCGGATTTTCATTTTTTTAAAAGGAGGGCTGGAATAATCTCTAGTGGGGTGCAAGCAGCACCACTGAACAGGGTTAGGCGTTAGGGTTAAAGACTTTCACACAAAATAGGAGGGGTGAAGCAAAATTTTGGTGGGGTTGAACACTTTATAAGAAGAGTTAGAGAGATTCCAGGGGGGTTAACCCCCATAACCCCCCTCCCCCTCCAGTTGCTTCATCCTCTATTAATTATATCAAACTCTAGATTGACAAGATTGTTACAACGGCATCGACAGTGAAAGCGTTACATGATGCGACGGAACGGTATTTGGAAAAAAATGCGGAAGATTTAATTGGTATGTACAGTACACATGCTGCTACCCCTCGTTAATATTAACCCCCGTCTGTTTTGAGAATAAAGGCTGGTGTCAGTGGCGCCGTGGCCGGGGGGCATGCGGAAAATTGTCAATGTTGTCAGAAATTGTGAAAGTTGTCGACGGGGGAGGGGGGTTGAAGATTTAAAATGTTGTCGTCCGGAAAAATTTTTGGTTTGTCGGAAAAATTTTTCGGTTTGTCGGAAAAGCACTGCCCTTGGCCACCTCAAAAACATGGGTCCCACGGTGCCACTCGCTAGTGTACACTATCAAAGTTTCTGTGATCACAGATTCGCAGTGGGAATTTTGCATTGGTAAATTTTAAGTTTTAAAAGATAGTCAACAAATGTTTGAGGGAACTCACTCAGCGTTAAAGGCACAGTTCAGCCTTTTGAATGATGGTTTTTAACTAGGAATGTTTTTAATTAACATTTTAAAAATTTTTGTTGTTAAAAACATTGAGTTTACTGATCTTGAATTATGCATAATTGATTTTTCTAGTTAGTCTTTTCAATAGGCAATTCCAGCTATATACTAAATTTTGATCTAGGCAAGAAGAGCCGTAAGTGGTTATTTTTACCGCGCGTAATACAAATCTATACAAAATTTGCGAACTTCACAGAGCTATATTTTCTTCATTTTACAACATTTCGCAACCAAACTTGGCAATTTTACTATTTTCAACATGCTCTTTCTAGCTGGTGTGGTATTTTGTTCTTCTTGCCTAGATCAAAATTTAGTCTATAGCTGGAATTGCCTATTAAGGTGGCTCGATATAGTTATCACGAAAACCCTGCTCAAGAATCGCGAACTCAAAACCGGGTGACCATTTTTACGCGCAGGTGGCGGAAACTGATTAACAAAATGATAGAACTTCCAAAATGACCTGACGTAAGCAGCTGCTCGCGCCATCTCACGTCATTTCGCGTGTTCTATATAGCGTTTTATGTCAATTGCTGACGTCATTAGAATTTTCCATTTTAGAAAAACAATGCGCTATATCTCTTTATTTTGTCTGGTGACCTATGTTCAAATTTTGCATGCTGTATTGCACCGCTAAAAACTTTCATTATACAAAAAATAAAAAAATTCTGTAATGCCAAAAAAAATTTACTGAAGAATATGACATTTTCGCATTTTCCAAAAAAATGGCACTACAGAATTTTTTTATATTTTGCTAATTGTTAGCTTTTCGTCCAAGTACAATAATGCAAGAAAAAAAATTGGGGGTCACCATGCTTCTTTTCCAACTATACGAGACGAAAGGCCATTTTGGAGTGTATTTTGTACACGTATGTCGTCATAGCAACGAACTATCTGTTACTAAAACTAATATAATTTGAAAGTAGAGATATCGAAATATATAAAAAAACCAATATCTGCTGAATATATTCTAAAGATGCATAGTTTGAACATTTCAAAGTGTTGAACACCTGAATTTTTGAAAACTGTATCGAGCCACCTTAAAACAATAAAAGGGCTGAAATGCCCCTTAAAAACCATCATTCAAAAGGCTGAACTGTGCCTATAAACAGTAAGTCCATTCCCTCAAACATTTCTTACAAATCCTTCAAAACTTAGAAATTACAAAATATGCAAAATCCCTACTGTGATCACAGAAACTTTGATATAAACAAAATACAAATTGAAAGTAACGTCCTCATTCTTATTTCAGAATCACCATCTCCGATGGCTGCTTGCGCAACACCTCGTCATCTTATTCATGCGATAACGAAAGATTCCGAAGATCCGAGCTAGTTTGTGGTACTGATAGGAGAAACTTTATCTCAAATGCAGACTGTATAAAGTGTATTTAGGTAAATCTGACAAAAAATATGAAATGTATTGACCACGCATTGTATCCAAAATATTCCTTTCATTGTTCAGCCGAACAATGCTGAACAATATTGTTAACAACCAGGAACAGTATGGGTAGCAAAGTATTTTTCAGGCCTGTTTTCAACAACATTGTTACAGGCTAGGCGGTTTTTGCACTGTAATTACATTGTCTATATAGTGTGACAGGGTTCGTACGGGTCCTGGAAAACCTGGAAAGTCATGGAATTTCAATATTCCAAAATCCAGGCCTGGAAATCCTGGAAAATCAATTTTAGTCACGGAAAGTCATGGAAAATTGAAATTTTACATAACATTAACAAAATATTTTACTTACTGTATTTCAATTTACCAGTCAACAATAATATGAATTGTTGTTATATAGCGGATTTTTGCAAGAGCGAAGTGAATTTTGTTCTTTTATTATATCTGTTATCGCCCAAAGTATTAACGAATTTCAGAAATTCCAGACTTCCAGGTCATGGATTTTGAAAAAAATGGTCATGGGAAGTCATGGAATTTTGAATGGGAAAAGGTGTACGAACCCTGGTGTGAGCAACACTTATAGTAGGTACTTTATCTAGCCTGGAACCGACGTCCAATAGCGGTTTCAATTTCCGCCATCTTGGCAAGGAGTGTGTGGAAATTTGATATTTTGACATCGATTTAAAGAATAACACTATGGTTTTATGAATTACTGATAACTTGGTTAGCGATACGTTCCGTTAGAAAAAAACTGGAATTAGCTGGGGAATATTTTACGACCTTCAGAGATATTGGACGTCAATGGCCGCCATCTTGGCTTCATTTTCTCATAGGCCGAATGACTGAAGTTGCTGCTTCAGATATGTACTGTCGCAGAATAAAGACATACAGAAGTGTAACTTCCATTACAAAACCGTAAGGCGCTTTTTTACCGAAATAGCTGGCGGCCATGTTCTTAGCAAGTGCCCTAAAGAGAGGCATTCACCCCCCTGGAATATTAAATTTTCAATATGTTTTCAGGGGGTGACTGCCTCTCTTCAGGGCACTTGTTAGGAACATGGCGGACTGAAAAAATCCCTTACGCACTTTTAATAAGAAGATACACTTCTGTATGTCTTTATTCTGTGGTACTGTATATATGGGGCTCATTGACGCCATTTTGGTTATGACGTAATGATACTAACACAATTTGCTTGCATCATCGAGCACAGATCTATATACTTCTCTTTAATGACCACCACAATCCTACCTCCCCCCCATCTAAACCCTTATGTTCGAGCCTGAAACGTAGGGCTGTGAACCACAATTTTACATCCACTGAGCTATATATCTACGTTATATAAACGTCCTGCTACCACACCAAACAAATCTGTGATTATGTTATGCTTGCCCGTTTAGTTGTATGTCTTTTATATTTCTGTGAATGTTTAAATAGTTTATATCGTTGAGTTCGTCTCTCGTTTATATCGTCGAGTTTGTCTCGTGGTATTGTCGTTCTCAGATATATGTCAGCGTACAACTAAAGTGAGAAAAATATTAAAACAGTATTAATGCTCGTCGTATGTTAGTTCGTTACAATCTCTATGGTAGTCAGGCCTGATACAAAGGTTAAAAATTTCAGACCTCCGGTCCAAATTTAAAATGTGGTCAAAAGGTCAGGCGAGCACTTCGAGAAACTATATTCGCACTCCAGTTGGAATCGAACCTCTGGCCCTGTAATTCTGATGTAGCAACCACTGATCTCTTAGATCAGTGATTCTTCCCAATAAGCTGCAGTTCCCAATATATGGTTAGAAAGGTGCCCCACAATAATTTATTCTTAATGTCAGTCCTTTGGCTTACACGCGTAAAAATTGAGAAAATCAACAACTTGTTGCAAGTTGATATCGACAGGCGCGAACAAGGTTGTGCGGCCCACTATGAACAGTACTGTCAACATGTTGTTACAGCATTGTTCAACTGTGACAACTTGGAACAACATGGTTGACAACTTGTTCATAGTTGGCCGCACAACATTGTTCACGCTTGTCGATATCAACTTGCAACAACCTGTGCGTTTTTAGCCGTGTACGTTCCTTTCGCCCAGCGGTTAACAGTACTGGTGATGAGATCGAAGTGGTCACGAGTGCCCGCTTGACCAGATTGAAAAGTTTTATTTCGCGAAGGAAATATGCTTTCCTTGGGAAAAATGCGTAGAAATGTTGGATATTTTCACAGACCAGAGGATCCTGCAGTAAGAAAGTGTTTTTGTGAAATAGGAAGATCAGAAATCTTGGTTCACAAAGTTATTTGATGCAGATTCTTCAGAAATTATTTGCAGGTTTTTTTTTAAACATTTTCAGGAATTTTGCGCAGATTTTCATAATTACAAGAATTTTCGCGCAGGAAATTAATTTCCTCAATTTCATTTTTTTTTCAATTTATCTATTTCCTTCAAAGCTAAAACTCTATAGTCCGGACCTGTTCACTCAACATTAATACTCTATATATATTATAACTTTTTCTAAATACCTTCATCTATACAATTCTGTTACTATACAATTGATATGTTATATGTAAACAACGAGTTTGAGTGTTTCATCAGGGGATCCAAACACGAGAAAACTGTATGAAACACGAGCGCGAAGCGCGAGTGTTTTATTGTTTTCGAGTGTTTGGTCCCCTGATGAAACACGAGAAACGAGCTAGTTGTTTACACAACATCTCAAACGAAAACATTTCATTGGCTTATATATATTATTATAGTATATTGTTGTGTTTTGACTTGAATTTGTAATTAGGATCTCAGTTATTAGATGAAAACCGTTTTTCATCTAACAACAGTGATGGTATATGATTTTTAGCTTGTTTCCTTGCGGTATCCAACCTCAATCATGTGACGAATTAGGGTGAGTTCATTCGCTAATTTGCTCATGAATTATTAATGAGTTTGAGATGTATGCTATAAATAATCTTGCCTTGTACATTTTACTCAGAAAGAGCTGGAACTTGGCTTGAAATAGACTTAAAATGAGTACCTGGATCGGCTGGCGAGCAGCAAGCTTTAAACAGATTAGGGTCCGTGATTTCAGTGGCCAAAAGCTAGGTAGGGTGGTTAGAGGTGATTAGAAGCCTATATTTACTGAGCCAAAGGCGAAGTTCATATAGGTTTGTAATCACCGAGCCTGAGGCAACTAATTGTTTTTAGTATAATTTCAGAATTGAGAAAGTTTTATTTATAAATACAACTAATACACATGCTTATTTTATGAATATAATTTGCATAAATAATTTAGTGATTTTCAGCCATTTTTTGGGAAAAGCAATAGTGACTGCTCAAAGCAGTCTGAGCAGTAACTATATGCCTCAGAGTCACTGCTGAGGGAGCCAATCAGTTGTGGTTGTGTTAAAAAGGGTTTCATGTTTTTGAGTTCACTGACATTTCTGTACATAGTTCTTCTAAAATTCTTAATGACTGTCCTAAGCCATATGCGAGAAGTGTTTGACACCTCGTCTTCGCCGCCTTAGTATATAAATATACAACATGACTAAAATTACCACTCCAGTGCCATAGACAATCACACATAAACTAGTGTCAAAATAGGTCATGCCGAACCCTATAACACGAACGAACTCGTTACCACTAATATATCTTACTCTGTCAGGTTCTGGCGTCTCCTCCGATTCAGACAGCCGTATATTGTGCACACTATAGTGCACTTTGAGATAGTTCAATACAACATTATCCCTCCATGTACTAGGGCTATCATTCCATGTATTATTATGTCCCTTTCTATCATCAGAGCACTCGATGCAAAGGTCTTTTGGTGGGTATGCAATTTTTGGAAAATGGGGGTCGGTGCTGGGTTCCTTACTAAGTCGCTTGTTGACCTTATTATGAGCACGCCAAAGCCAAAGTATCGCTTCGTTGTGGGTATGCACTTCTTTTTCGACATTTTTCGACATGTTGTAAAAGTGTTTTGAGCATTCCAGGCAGCTAAAGAAGCTCTTCACGTAACCTCGGATCCTGGCTAGGACATCGGCTCCGGTTAAGCTGGTTATCCCTCGTGTAGCACAGTTCACAGTAAGTGTATGAAATAGTATCCACAAACTACACGGGTAGCCACGATACTGAGGCCGACTTCCTTGACATGTGCGCCATTCCACATTCTCTGGCAAAGACGTGTTGTCAGCCTGGACGAAAATATGATTGTTGTCAAAGTGACCCTGTTGCCATCAGGGCCGCCGAGAGGGGGGGGGGGGCAAATTGCCCCGGGCCCCGAGGCTCTGGGGGCCCCTAGAAATTTAATGTTAGAAATTTAGTGGGCCCCAGTCATTTTTTCGGGCGAACTATTTCTGTTTTCGGGCCAAAATATTTGTGTTTTGGGGGGAATGAACCAAAATTTGGTATGGAAAATTGCGGAAAAGTCCAACGAAAGCAATTATAACGAACCTAAAAAGAAATTATTGTCCGAAAAATTTTTTTGCAATGGGGGCCCCTAAAAAAATGTTTGCCCCGGGCCCCCGCCAAGCTCTCGGCGGCCCTGGTTGCCATTCAATAGACCGGGGGTAGATCTACCGTGGGGGTGTAGGGGGGGGGGGGCGCACCCCACCTAGTGGTGTCTAGCACCCCCTAAAGAAGTCCAGCACCATCCTAAGAAAATATGCTTGAACATACATTTTCTGCGTTTCGAATAGCGGTTAGCGGAACTTGTACCGTTAGCGTGTGTCGATTCTTGAAACGATTTAATTGATTTGGCGTGAGCTCACGAGAAATTACTCAGAATGCTTTGGTTAAATATCATGGTTAAATATGTAAACATGTCGAGGTTGCTATACAGGCAAATATACTGTACTGTGTTACAGCAACTGTCCGGTCACGCATACGTGATAAAAAACCCGATATAAACAAAAGATAATGTAAAACGTAACAGAACGGCGAACATGCAGATTCGGCCATCTCAAATAATGGTAATGTTGGGATAGTAGCGTTGCAGACTGCAGAGGAGAGTGGACAGTAAGGCTCCTTCATGCACCACCCCATGGAAAACTTGTACCCCTCCTTCCAGTCGAGGTTAGATCCTACCCCAATGGCCTCCGTTTTAAAGATTGCGCCCTATACTCTAACCCAGCTTACCTTATGCATATTATAAAACAATCTTAAAGCGGAAGGTCTGAGTGGTCTGTCCTTATCTTTGACTATTCCTTGAAGCCATTTGTGAAGTATTTTGAGAAATCTGTTAACCGCGGGTCTAGCTGGAAAACACTACGAAGAGAAATATGCTGTTAAACGCGCTGCTATCGACTTTGTTGCAAAGAAAAGCAATGAAATACTATATATAGACCCATTGCACATAACGTCACAGCGCCGGTGACGATGCATTTGGAGGACAAATTAGCAATATATGCATAATATAACTTTTGTGAACAAAGCAAATTTTGCCGTTAAAGTTTATTATAATTTTGTAATTAAATGGTTAATTTTTGCGCTGAGTGTGGTTGTTGTACCAGAGCAGATATTGTCAGGGAGCATCTGGAGGACACTCTAAGGATTTGTGACGTCAATACAATGGGTCTATAGTTGAAGGATATTGTAGATATATTTTCCATCTACAATATCCTTCAACTATTATTCAATCGAATAAGATGCCAACAAAATCTTAATGAAATGCTATGCACGTCATTAGAGACGTTAAGATTTAATAAGCCTGGTTCATACTTCACACTATAGGCCTAGCATTGGACAACTTGCGTGTCAGACTAAATTTTAATCCAAGTAAAGAGAAGGGAATCAAACACCACAGCTAAAAAGAACATAATGATATAGTAAAATTGCAAAATTTGGTTGCGAAATGTTGTAAGGCTTGGAAAATATAGCCTTGCAAATTTGTTACCATTTTCGACTCAAAAATGGTAACAATTTCCGCACGTAATACAAACATATACAAAATATGTAAACTTCGCAAGGCCATATTTTCCGTATTTACAACATTTCGTAACCAAAGTTTGCAATTTTACTAATTTTAATAAGTTCTTTGCGAGAATTTACTTTTTTTGCCTATAGATCAAAAATTAGTGTTAGAACATGCAAGTTGTCTATTCTGCATGTCGGCGATTTTTCTCCTGCCAATTGTGATGTGAACTTTCACTGTATAATATTACCTGAACCAATAAACCCACAAAGCGTTCCAGATTTTCTTTGTGTAGAATCTTTTTGATAACGATTTCTCTCGTGAATATGAATGAGAGAGCGCTCTCTAAGTCTCGCATGTGTATATCATATCTAGGAAGAAAAGAGAAATTCGACATCAAGGTATATTCACAATGTCAATGAAATAATCACACGATGAAGACGAGTGTTTGTTATAAGTGTTCAAAACCTATAAAATCCTTTTGGCGTTCGTCTCAAAATTACTTTGTTTTAGCTTTATTTTGTATAGCTTACTTTACACATTGTCACATTCAGCAACCTTTTTAAATGCATCTGGCGGTTGAGAAACACAAAATAATAGTTAAAAATTGTCAATTTCAACACAATTAATATCATTGATGCTGTAAAATTGAAGGCATATTTATACTCGGCAATATATAAGCAAAACTTATATTGAACTTCAGAACTGTGTTATTGAAACACTTAAATACAACCACTTATGTAATCTAAAGACAAAAAAATAGTCGAGTAGTCGTATACGTGATCTAAAAACCTAGGATAATCTCAGCGGAGATTACATTATAGATTTCAACTTACGCATTTTCTTTCTTGCGCTTAACAATCACATCATTTTTATGTAAATCTTTAAAATGCGAGTTTGTAAGTTCAACTGCTTTCGGTGGTGGAGGAGTCACTTTCTTTACATCAAATTCTCGAAGTTCTGAGAGAATTTCATGCCGCGTTTGGTTTTTTCTACAAAATGAAAATACAATGCTAGGGGTTGTGTTGCAGTGTTTTTCAATCCTGAGTTTGCTACACACAGGCCCTACACGCGTAAACGTCTCCCAGCTTGTCAACAAGATGGCAGTCTCACTGCTTGTTCCCAGTTATTGACAAATCTGGAACAAGTTGTTGTCTTGTAACAAGGTTGATGAGGTCAACAGACTCGTAACAAGTTGTTCCAACAAGTCTGATATAATCTGCACGTAACAAGTTATTAGCGAGCTTAAGATCTACAACGCGAACTTACGACGCGGACGTCGCATTAAACAAGTTTTATTTTAAAACGATGGCAAATACCATTAAAATATTTTTATCACAGTAAATAAAATGAAATTATACTGGAAAAAATGTACAACATAACAGAGGCTAGCAATATATTAAGAAGATATTTTTTATCATAAGTTTTTACGACTTCTATGACGACGAATCTTTGAAAATATCACGTCGTCTCGGATGGTAGTTTTGGCGGGAAAATGTGCATTCGTAACAATAGTCTATAAAGCCTGGTTTCTATCATTTCGTATGGCTGTTAACGTGTCATAACAGTGTCACAAATCTCGCAGAAATAAACTGTGACAACTCTGACTA